TTTTTTTTACAAAACTTTCCGTTATACCACGAATTTAATGATAATATCTAAGTAGAGAAAACTTTATTTCTTGACAGATCCAATATTTTTTTGTTATGCATTTTATAAGAAGAGGTACGTTTGAGTGATCCATTTAACTCGACGTAAGAATTCTTAGCGTAGAATAACAACGTTGAATTATCATCGCAAACATATTTCGCGGTATTAATGTCGTCGATACGTGATAATATTTAACAGAAAGTAACTCTTACTACCTCTGTGCATTATCTCTGATCTCGACATTAACCTTGAGAAGAATAGATTGATTCGACTCCACCCCATACAACAAATAAGAATGACATTTCTGATTTCTCCTTCGAGAAATCACCGCGTTCCTTGTTCTCTTATGATTAAAATTGAAATCATCCGCGCCATGAACCTCGACCACGAAAACAAGATATTTTAACATTTACACGCGCGGTTGCAAAATGAAAAACAACGAAATGAAATATCCAATTATAATTATTTATTCTGTATAGACGAATTGAAAGAAAAATAATTCTAATTTCCATAGATTGCAATCCTTTATCACGAGTGCAATTATCGATCATTTTGTTGCAATGATAACAGATGATTTGCTCCAAATTGAAGTGAAACTTATATTCGTACAAACGATCCATTGTCAAAAACAAACGTCAAAAATAAATTTAGAGACATTTAGATTGAGAACGCTCATCGTTGATATTTTAATATTTCTGAAATGTTTTTATCGTTTCCATAATGATTATCCATTGTATTTCCATTTTTGAGCTGAGATCAAATTTCGAATATTCTATTATTCTTAAAATCTATTTATTTATAGTAATGAAATTAAAAGGGTAAGATTAAATTTTAATTATAGTGTTCGATAAATATGAAAAAAATTTATATATAAAATGTTTAAAAAGAAATTCTCAACTAGTTTATTCAAAAAAAATATTTCTAATTCATATTGATAAATTTATTGATATATACGCATGTTATTGCTTATAAATAATATATATAAATAATTCAGTGCATTTAAAAATTATTACAGATAATAGTATTTTATATCTGAGAAAATTGCCAAAGAATCAATGAAAAGAACACACATATTATCCAGAATAACGTTCTTTCGAACATCTTGCTCTTTCGATTAAGAACACAGACGATAGTTTAATAAAAATTGAAACAAAATCAAAATGTATATTAGAATTCCCTTTGTAATCTACAAAAATACGTATGATTTTGATATTGCGTTTAATAAATTGATCTTTTATAACTGATGTTCATTTTACCTGTCCCAACAGTACACTGTTCATATCGAATGTTTTTGCTGTGAATTTGTTGTTCCTGTGCATTATTTGCAAAGAAAAAAGGTGTACCTGTAATTTTATAATTAATACAATTTAATAATAAAAATATCATTTAAGGAAAATAAATATTGTTTCTTAAAATTCTTAGAAGTAGTCTTAGTCTTTATTGATGTCGATTATAATTGATCTTAATAATATATATAAATTCTTACCTCGCGTCTTACCATTGGATCAGTCGTATCGTTGAAAGTATCATAAAGGGTCCATTTAATCTTCTTCGCTTCGTTCGTTGTTGACTCGCAGATCCAAATTATCATCGCAAATTTAATGAAAAAATAAAACGCTGGAGCAATATTCGGCATGAACCAGAACTTAATGTTTTCAGTTTCAGGTGAATATATTTTAAGTAAGAAGAAATACAGATTGAAAGTGATTGTGGTAAACGTCGTGATAACCAAAACTATAATATGTATCATAAATGTATCGTTCACCAATTCAACGACATCGCTGATCTCTAAATGTTTTTCCTCTAAACGCTTTAATTTTATTAGCAACAAAGAATTTTTCTGCTCATGGTGCACAATTGTCTCTACTCGTGGATCATTGTCGAATTGAAACTTTTTCAATTCATGAATGGATTTATTCAATTTTTTAAAACAAACTTTTAACACCCAAACACAGTTTATGTAAAACATATCTACTGAAAAATTAATCAATAATATATACAAATGTGTAACATTTCGTAGAGTCACATGGATGTTGCTCTTGAAACAATTTGGTAAATGAATAAGGATGTATAAGAAACCAAGAATGTCCTTTTTGTGAATCCGTCTCGCTAAATCGTTGAAATCTTTTTCAGATAATATGAAAGAAATCTTTAATAAGTTTTGAATCATGTATAATCGTGTACCGGATAAAATATGCATCGTTATAATACCAATTCCAACCAAAAGCGCGTACATGTTTTCATGAATTACTTCTGCTGTGTTTTTTTTTATTATATTAGTAAAATTCAGTTGGTAAAACAAGTTAAACCATATAAAAATGGAAAGTAACAGTATAAATATACTAATAACGAAACGAGTTTTCGAAAATAAATATACTGGACGTTTCCATTTGTAAGGAAAATATCCAATTATTCCGCATATAAAGAAACAAGGAAACATCAATGAATTAAAATCTGTCGCGTTAAATATTTTCCATATTTTATGTTTTTTCAATTTTTCGAGCCACATTACTTATTCAAATATTATTGTCAATATTATTTATTCAAATATTATTGTAAATATCAAATCGTGAATTAGTTTTCGAAAATGTTACGTGTAAAAGTTATTTATTCATATAAATGGAATAGTATTCCTCACGAACAACTATCGTTTTTAAGACAAAGTACTTAGGATAATGATATTCGATTACCAAAGTAGGAAAAAATGCAATTCAATAATGAAAATTATAAATATATAATATAAAATTGATTATTTTTCGTAAAATGGAAATGCTTTTAACATGATTGGAAATAATATAATTTTATTACAAAAAAGCTAAATTTTTTATGAATCAGTTTTTCATTCAAATCAATTATTTCTTCAATACACATTAACGTAATCGATCGAAATTTTTCTTTAACAAGGTGGAACAAATAAAAATTGTATCAACATTAATAAAAAGGTAGTAATTTTGCATGTCATCTATAAAATAAAATAGAATTGATGAAAAAAAAATTGATGGATTTTCTCGATAAAATTTTCTCTTTACTTACCTCTGTCACAAGAGTCAAGTCTATTTCGAGTCCAAACATCACAAATGTATTATCTTTTTGCAACACTTCTAAAGAAAATAACTCCAACTAAAATTATCAAATCGATGAATCCATTAAAATCTATATAATGCAAATCAAATAATCTTACCTCCGTTATAATTTGATCATCAAAAGTATGCACGAGAATTTTATGAATATTTGAGCCAATTTTTTTCATTTGGACTCTAATAATTTCAATGATTGAAACAGAAATAACTATATATACGACATAGAAAATTGCAAATCCAAGAGTACTGTTTATCTTTGTGATCTTGCCTACTTCTGTATTGTATAATATTAGATAAATGTATAAGTTGAACGTAATATCGAAGAATAACATCAATAATATCATTTCATTTTTCAAGCTATATGAATGATTTAATAACTGAACAGCTTCTATCAATTCCGTATATTGTTTCTTAAGAATCCTCAATTCCATAAGCAAAATGGGATTTTTTTTCATATGATATTCTCTTCTGAGAAGATGAGGCTCATCGTTGATTAGAATTTTCTTAATTTTTATTAAAGAATTATTTATAAATTTGAAACAAGCATTTAATATGTATACATTGTTCAAGTATAAAGTACTTATTATGAGAAGTCCAAAAAATGAATACCAACAAATAAAAAGAAAAACACAAAATTCATGATTGATTATGAGAAATGGCACAAGAAGTCCTAATGGCATAAAGAATAATATATCTTTTATAAGAAATATTTTGATCAATTTGTTAAAAATTTCTGCAGATAGTGCGTAAGAAACATGCTGAACACGTTGAATCGCCTGAACTGTTGATCGATTTGAGATATAACTACAAATGAATACTGCAGGACCAAATAACGCAATAGAATTACGATGTAACAGTCTAGGTATCCCGTCATATATATAAAAGTTAATTTCATATAAGGAGATAATTGCGAGAAATAAATAAATGATAATTACAATTGTAGAGAAAACGGAGTGTAATTTCGAGTACATAAATTTCGACGATTCGAGTTTGTAAGGTAAAAAACCCATGAAACGATTAATGAATGCAATATAATATATTAATGATGCATAATTTCCAAAGCGTAGAGGCGATGATTGTTTTTTACAATTTTTAACTCGTTTTCTATTACATTTTGTTAATCGATGAATCATTTGAAGAGCTTAAATTAAAACAATATCACAAATTTTAACTAATTTTTCACGAAATTTCACTTTGAAAAAACAAAACTTTATTTTGCATTGAAGAACGAAAATTACATTTTCTTTCGAGATCGTATTCTACACTAAAAGATATTTCGCATTGTGAGAAAGTTATGAATGTCATAGTTTATTATGCGATAAGTGAAATTTAATCATTTTTATGCAAATCTAATTCGAACATCTAAAACCGAAAGAAAGTAAAATCCATTAGCGAAAAGAGTTTCGTAACATTAGAAAAAACATAAAAAATGCAATAATAAGAACATTATCTTGATTAAATCGATGAAATTTATTTATCCATTTCTCTCCTTTAGAAATTTATATTTGATACAAAACTTTAATTATTAAATATATACAATTATTGACAAATTGATTTATAATAATATTTTTATTATTTGTGAAAAATACAATAAGAGTAAAAAAATTCATTTAAATTATACGTTATCGTTATTTTCTCAATTAAGAACGTATCTCTTGACGTCATTGCTTTATATGTACGTCGTTTATTTTATCAACTTCCTGTGCTTATTGTTGTTATTAGATATATTTTTTATCAGCATATAGTTTGTTATAAAATTTTTTTTTTATTCCAGAAAAAATTATATGATTTGTTCGAAAATTTTGAGCAATATTAAATAAATATTATTGATACAAATTAATAATAAAAAAAACTATATATTTTAATTAATAAATAATAAATTTAATAAGATTAGTTATAATATAATTAAAATAATTACATATATACAATGATTATAACATAATTACAACATGATAATTTTATAATTTTATTCATATCTATTATAATCTTATAAGATTATTGCATAATATATTAATCATTATAAATTTAAATAAAAAATTTACATATTTTTTTTAACATTTTAAATAAATTTCTATATATAATTTATTTATTTTTAAATAATTCAGAATGTCTTTAAAGTAACCACACTATATAAATATATACTATATTTCTTGAAACGGAGTGCATTTGTTTTGAATAGGTTATGTGAATGCTATCCATCCATGTAAAATGGATCATATAATCTAAAGTACAAATAAATAAATTAGTAAAATTCTTCGTTTTAATTTTATTTATATTTACTAATTGTATTATTTCAATATTATAATAAACATTTGATAATGATTACTTAAATAATCTCAATTTCTTATCAATGAATTAATTTAACTTATTTAAAGTGGCATTATGGATAAAGGTATAATTACCTATATTTATTTAGAAAATTTTGTGTAAGTATCAATTAATTTTTTTTAGTTTTTAATTGTAATAAGAAAGGTAAATGTGAAAAATTTCTTATATTTTTACAGAACTTATAATAAAGTTTGCATAAAACCTGGGAGAAATTTGAATGTTATTATTGGTCCTAATGGTACTGGTAAATCAACAATTGTTTGTGCTATTGTACTTGGATTAGGAGGTAAACCTAGTACTATTGGTCGTGCCATTCATATCGCTGATTATGTAAAAAGAGGGTGTGAAGAAGCAAAAGTTGAAATTCACCTCAAAAATGGCAAAAAGAGTGATGTTATTATTCAAAGAATATTTAATATAAATGGGAAATCTTTATGGTTCCTTGATGAAAGACCATCAAATATCAAAGAAATACAAGAATTAATAAAAACTTTTAACATTCAAGTACTTAAAAAAGATTTTTATTATAAATTAATCTTTTCATTATTTCTAATTTATTTTGAATTTCAGGTGGATAATCTCTGTCAATTTCTTCCACAAGATAAAGTACAAGATTTTTCAAAAATGAATGCACAAGAATTATTAGAAAATACAGAAAGATCAGTTGGTGATCCCATAATATTAGAACATCACAAAAACTTAGTACAATATAGAATAGATCATAAAGATTTAGAAAAACAGATTGAAAGCAAGAAGAAAATATTAGAAGAAAAATCTCAAATATATGAAGGTTTAAAAGAAAATGTTAGTAGTATAAAAGAAAAGAAATTAATAAAGAAGAAAATTATTAGCTTAAAACAAAAAAAAGCATGGATATTATATGATCAAAAGCGTAGAGAATTGCTCAAGGTAAAAATAAAAAATTATAATAGTTATGATCATAATTTTCCTATAATAATTTTGTAATTAATTACTATATACATTTTGCTAATTATTATAGTTAAGAAAAAAAAAGGAAACTGCAGTATCTGTATTAAAATCATTAGAAGAAGATATAAAACCTATTGATGATACAATAGAAAAACTAAAATCAGAAATTGGACAACTACAAAATTCTGTTTCAGATCATGTAAGATCATATTTTGACTTGTAAGATAGTAATTAATTATATAATCTAATGATTGTATAATCTAATTTATTCTTACAATTTTAGAATAATAAAATCAAGATTAAAAATACAAAATTAAAAAAAATGATAGATGATATTTTAGATTGTGAAAATAATATTAAAGATTATGAAAATACATGTAAGCATAGAATTCAAATGGAAGAAGCTCGAGATCACGATATTGATATTGCACAACAACAGAAAAACAAACTTGATAACGATTTATTGCTAATGTTAAAAGATATTGGATCTGGTTTGTTTTATTTTAATTATACTTATATCTAAATCAATATATTATGACATTTTTAAAATATGTTATGTTTTACAGAAGAAAATTTAATTAAAAAACGACAAGAAATATTATCCAATATAGAAAATAAGAGAAACATAATTAACATGTTAACAAATAAAAATTCAGGATTAAAACAAGAAGAAGAACGTTTAAGTCTTGAAATTAGAGGTGAATTATTTATTTTATTTTTACTATTTTGTTTTCATGTGTATTTTATTATTATTTTAATAATAAAATAAAATTTTCAGCTCAAGAAACAGAATTACAACTTCTTAACATTGAAACAAAACGATTAGAATTATTAAGGGAGAGAAGTATTGATACATATAGAGCGGTACAATGGTTGAGAGAAAATCAAAATAAATTTTCTAGTACAGTACACGAACCAATATTGCTTAATATAAATGTAAAAGATGCTTCATATGCAAAATATTTGGAAAATGTTATTCCATTTAGGGATTTGATAGCATTTGTCTGTGAAAATAAACGAGATATGAATATGTTATTGCATTACTTAAGAGACGAGCAAAAATTACAAGTAAATGTTGTACATTCTGACCCTATGAGAAATGTTTCCATGAATCCAGCAGTTCCGTTACACCATATTAAACAATTTGGTTTTACCCATTATCTAGTATCGTTAATTGAAGCTCCGAATATCATAATGAAATATTTAGTAACTATGTATAATCTAAACAACATACCTGTAGGAACAAATCAAGTTGATGATAACATTGATCATATACCTAATAGTATACGTTACTATTTTAGTGGTAAGTAAATTAAGATAAAAATGAACATTAAGTAGATATTTTGCATAAATAACGATAAATGTTAGCAGATATTTTGCATAAATAAAATTAATAATATTTGATTGCATAATTAAAATTAATAATATTTTATTTTTTAGTAAACAATGTGTATATGGTAAATAGATCTAAATATACGGGAGAAAAATCTATTGGAATGCAACCAGTATCAAGTACAGGAATGTTATCTATTGTATTAGATAAATCAAGACTATTAAACGTTGAAGAAAAGTTTGTTAATAATTTAACATAATAAAATGTAAATTAAATGTATTGTTATTGAAATTTTTTTTTAGATTGAGAATATTAAAAGAAAGGAAAAGCAATGTATTTAATAAAATTAAACAAATTGATGAGCAAGTACATGAACAAAATAAGGAATTAGATGAATACAGGATTAGCAGAAACAAATATCAGCAGGATTTCCAACAAATACAAACTCTAAAATCTAGAATATCTATGATACAAAAAAAAATTGTAGATCTGCAAAATGAGCGAACTAGTATTGAAAAAATACAAGAATCTTCTGCTAATGAAATAAAGGTTCTATTAAATATTAAATAATTATTTTTCGTATTAAAAAATATATAAATTTATATATATATTTATATATATTTTTTGTAGATAACTATGGATAAACAATTAAAAATTTATAAGGCATACAATACTGAATTAGAAGATTGTTTTAAATGTATTACAGCCAGTGAAGAAACTGAATTAGCATTAAAATTACATAATAAATCCTTAAGAGTAAAAATAAATGATTCTCAAGATTTGAGAGAAAAACTTAAAGTAGCCGAAGATAAAATAAAACAATTTATTTCTGAATTGCAACCATTGAGAAAAGAAGTTGAGAGAATATATAATGAAGCACTAGAAACTACCGATGGCATTAGTCCTCAAGATGATGCATTTGCGGCTATAAATAAAGTATTTAATAAATTACCACCAACTATAGAAGAGATTAATAATGAATTGAACATTGCACAAGCGAAAGTATTCTGTATGGGAAATAATATAGATGGTGAAAATGTGAATTTCG